TATTTTATGTATTATAAATTAATTATTTATTTTATGTATTATAGTATAAAATAAAAAATTAATATATAAAATAAATTTAAAAATAAATTAAGTATAAAATAAAAGAAATGAATAATTTATAAAGTAAATAATATAAAAAATGCATAATATATAAAATTATACAGAAATGAATAAAATATATAAAGTAAATATAAAAAATAAGTATAAAATGTGCAATATATAAAATAAATAATATAAAAATATATGGTATATGAAATAAATATAAAAAATGAATGTATAAAACGAATATATAATTATAACGCAACGAAGACAAACACAACAGCCAAATATTGCGCTCTCTACCTAATAGTAATGAATTCAGACAAAACAACTCACCTCTGCCAACAGCATACACGGCAGCCAAAACAACTCACCGCAACTGAAAGTACTCACCTTAACGTAAAAGAATCCTTAGGAAAAATTACAAAACTCACACAATAATAAACATTCAAGTCGAATATCCAGACTGTAACCACGCAGACACACAATAATACCGATGCATTTTAAACTCCATTGACTTCAAAAACCCACTGAAGACGACAAACCCTACAACTGGCACTCGACTATCTTCCACTCAAACAATCCGCCTCAAAACCAATCAAATCTCTCAAAAGATCCCAGACTTGACAAAAATTAGGACCTATAAATAACTAAGCCCACTGCTGAAAACAATCAAGAGCCTAAAAGAAACCTAAAATTTGAAAACATCAGGTAACAGATAAAGCAAACAAAGATCTAAAAAATGGAAAGGATAAGGTAAAGCCTAGCATGACATAACTAAGATGAGATTATAAAAAAAACCAAGTACTCTGAAGTGGTTCAAGACCCTTACAATTTTCAAAATTCCTAGAGACCCAATAACTCCAAATGTGTCTCAAAACATGCAAATGAAAGAACCTCAAAAATTTGAAGCAAATAACAAGAGAATAGGGATACCTCTGAATTCTGAAAAGAGCAATAAACCCTAAAGCCTTGAGAAAGACCAAGAGCCTCAATATTACTACAAAAATATTACAACCAATAGCATACCCAATATCCCACTAAAGACCGAAATTGGTCTTTAAATGAAGAGAAAAAACAGTGAAAAACTACAATCTACAAGTTAAAAAAAATCTAATAAAGACCACTACCACTACAAGAGAGAAACTCTGAAAAACCCATCACCTGTGAAAAAACCCATAAAATGAAGGAACCGACAAACTCTTTGATGGGATATAACCCCAATTGACCTAAGAGCACTTCAGAGTACACCCCATCAATTTGGAATCACATCAATCTCATGTACATCTGAAAAGAATGAACACCTATGAAGAATCGCAGACCTTCATTAAGGAATTAAAAAACCCAAAAAAGACTAGTCCTGAAAAGTCAACAGCCCAGAGGAAACGTAAGATTTTGAAAAGACGGACGACAGAAAATGCGAACAAACATCTAAAAATTCAGACGTTATGATAAAGCTAGCATACACTGCCTAAAAACTCTTCAGTTATCAAACAGATAATGAAGATACCCCAACACTATGAAGTAACTCAAGGGACTTATGAATTTGGAAATTCCTAGAGACACAATAACTCCCAAAGCAGTTTGATATTTCAAAACATAAAGAAGGCAATACTTTAGCAAAAATACCAAGAGACCAGGAACACCCATCTGACATGAGAGGAAAAAACTCAAAACCTAGAGCCTTGAGAAAAGTTCGAGGGCCTCACTAATAAAAAAAAAATAAACTGAAAACAACCACCAAATGAGGAACCCAACCCTTCTCAAGCCTCTAATCACACTCAAGTTAACCAAAATCTCAGATGTGACAAAACCCCCATGTAAGTTAAAAGCACTTCACAGTGAACCCTTACCAATTTCGAATAACACCACTCCTATGAAAGAAAGCAAATTCCCAGACGATAACAGATACCTATATAAGTGTCACACTTATTAGTATTCCATACTCTCTTAAGCATATCTAACAAGTGAAAAGAAAAATATTATGAAGAATCTCAGCCCCTCATAAAGGAATTCAAAACCTCAAAAAAAATCCCAGTCCTGAAAATGGTCAACAGCCCAGAGGAAACAAAATCTGAAAAGACCTACAATAGGGAGGCGAACGAACACCTAAAAATTGAGAGCTTCCAAAAGATGATATAAAATTCAAACAACCCTTAATATACCATCTCAGTAATGACCCACTTGCTGATTAAATACCCAAACATACCGAGGACAAAATACTGTTAAAGAACTACAATCTTCAAGTTAGAAAAACTTTAGTACAGACCACTACAAATAGAAGAGTGGAACTCTCAAAAACCCAGCACCTGTGAAAACACTCATAAAATACAGGAACAAACCCTTCCCAATGCAATAACCACACTGAATTTAACCAAAATCATTGAAGGGACAAAACCCCAATTGAGGCCAAAAGCACTTCTGAGAAAAGCCCATTAATTTGGAATGACATCACTCCTATGAAAATGAAGTAAAGCCCAGAAGGCAACCGAAAACTCCCAAGGGCCTCCCCCTTACATGTATTCCATACACTCTAAAGACTCCCTAAATCTGAAAAATAGTGAAAACCTATGAAGAATCTCACACCCACATAAAGCAAGTATAAACCCAAAAATGACTAGTCCTGAAATCAGTCAAGAGCCCAGAGGAATCCAAAAATTTTGAAGAGACCCAGAAACACAGAATTGGAACAAACACTAAAAAATTTAAACGATACGGTAAAGTCTAGCATTAAATACCTAAAAAGTATTCACATATCAAAGGGATAATGACGAGACCCCAGCACTGTGAAGTCCTTCAACAGACTTAAAATTTTTTGAAATTGCTAGAGACCAAATAACTCAGAAAATAAGTTGGAATTTGCAAACATAGAAAACTCAAGACATTGCAAGAAATACCAAAACAGTAGGCAACTCTATCAGAAATGAAAGAACTCTGAAAACCTACAGCCTTGACAAGGATCAAGAACCTCACAAAAAAACACAACCCCTGAATAACCCACCACCTGTGAAAACACCCACCAAATTAGGAACCCCACCCTTCTCAAGGCTCTAATCACAGTAAATTTATCCAAAATCTCATATGGTAAACAGCCCCCCCCCCCCCATGTAAGCTACAAGCACTTTACAGTGAACCCAATAAATTCTGAATCACACCTCAACAAATGAATAATAACAAAGTCTCACAGGGTAAACTGTATTGTTAGGTATATCTTTACACGGAAACAAGTATAATTGCACGAGATACTGATTACACGTCATAAATGTCCGCATTAATAAAACGAAAATGTCATAAGATGTGCAAGTACAAAAAGTCTACTTCTGTAGAATGTGAAACTGACTTACGTGCAGCAAAGCTGAACAGTTCACTAGACAAAGAAGCTGCAGTCTGGGGCTTCTATCACTCAGACACTACAACTGTGGGTTTGAATCCCACTCAAGACACGGATGTTTCTTCACGTGTGTTCTGCGGTCCTGTGTAGGAAGAGGCATTTTGATGAGCTGATAACCCACATCCAAGGAGTCTTACCAAATATCTAAATTGCCTATGAAAGATCCCATATGTGAGGAGGACAAGGGCTTTTGGGCCACAAACAAAACTTTTTTCACAACTGTTTTGTTCTCTTTGATGGCAACGGCAAAATATACATACTCCATTTCTAAAACCTTAGGACTGTCAAATCCTACTCTGTCTACTTACAGGGGCAATAAATATATTTCATTAGATGTTAAGTGTATTTTTTAAACATCATGGCTAGCAAGGTTTAAAGTTTAAGATAGAAGTAAGGTTAGGTTTACTTGTTCTTTGTGGATGAATGGTTTATGGGTGAAAGTAAGGTTAAGTTTAACCTTTATGTACATATATTTGTCTCAATTTCTGTTAACATGATATGAATACTTTCTGTGTAAGATTTAATTTAATAATTTTATTCTAGTTAATATAATTGTATATCGTGATGATTAAAGGATGGGTGATGTAGTATGTGCCTTTATTGCACAAAATGGAAAAAAAACCTGCATAGTGAGGGTTTCATGTTTTATAATTACAACAAAAATCTTATTAGGATCATCAAATAAACGAAGGGGCAATGGGTGAAATGTGTACAAATTTCAGCCAGAAAATGTGATGGGAATCGCCTGTTCGGTAAATTCAAGTGTAGACGAAAGACTTAATTTTAAAACAGATCTCGAAGATTCAACTGGTTCAGGATATGATGGCAAAGTTTGGGTTCCATAAAGAGGCAGAGATGTTCTTAATAGGTGAGTTATTATTAGCTTCTCAAGAAGGCCTCTGCTCCATGAGAAACTCCGCAATTTTAGATGCTTAAACAGTCGCCATATAGAATGTTTCAGTAAAACTTCAAAATTTTACAAACATCAGAATTAAGATAATTACGTAAGTCATTTAACAATGAGCAGTAAGAAATAAATAAGAAAAATCATACAAAGATCCACAATATGAAAAAATATTTCTACCATAATACTGGCCGACTATTTAACAGTATAGTTCCAAACAGCGGAACCCAATCTTAAGTAATGAATTCAATCTACATTTCCCTTGTTGTTAATTCACAATTTGTTCCCTTGGCTATCGCCAAGGAAACAAATCATTAAGTTTTGTAATATTCTTACACAATTTAGTTTACTGCAGTTTCACGCCTCTTCAGTGCCGTCAGTTCATCATTGTCTAGTTCCTGAAGTTTAGTTAGTTGTGGTTCTATCCTGAAACATACAACCGCGAATTTGCAAATGATACAGCTTTTGAAAATAATGTCGGACAATTCAAAGATTTATTTTAATGATACTGCATATACTAATGCTGTTATTCAAAACTGAAGTGACTGGTTCGATGATGACAACGTAACTGACAGATTTCTGCAAATTTTCACTACGTGGCATTTACGTCCTATGTATTTTGTATTTGTTATTCCTTATTAGTAAAGGCTATATTGCTTGTCGTTAAAATACTAAGCTGCACACTTGATGTACATAATCTAATTTTAATTGTGGTTAATCACACATACCTAACTAACTAACTAAACCAAGTGTTCTCACTCAGCAGTGGACACTGGGACTTGGCAGGACACACTCATGAGTTTTTGCATCACTTATATCTTGTACCATTCAGTACAGAATATTTTTTCTGTATTTTACCTCTCTATAAACCTGAAGATTAAAATTTCAAAGCTATAAATTTTACATGTTGTTTAATATGGAGGTAAAACTGGGTCTCTTATCCTAAGGGAAGAACACAGATTGAACGTGTTCAAAAATAGGTTATTGACGAACATATTTGAATCTACAAGACAGAAACTAATATAGGAAGGAGAAAATCACAAGATGAGGAACTTGATAATTTGTACATATGGTGGACGAGATTGGCAGGAACCTGCAACATGCATGTGAAGTATGAAAAATGCATGCATTTCTGTCAGACAAAAACTGAATGGAAAACCACCTGGGAGACTTAAAAGGCAACATAATATTAACATTTACCTGAAAGACGTAGAATGTCGGAAAGTGGACTGGATCGGATCAGTCTCTTGTGAACATGGTAATGAACCTTTAGCTTCTATAAAGGACTGGAAATTTACTTATGACCTGAGTAACTATTAGTTTCTCAAGAGGGACTCTACTGTACGGAGCTGGTTGTGTCACGTAGGTTACAGTATAAATGTATTTCTTTTTATGGGGGCTAAACTGAGAGGAGCCAGGGGCTAAACTACAGCATGATTGGTGAGTGGGCTTGTAAACTGTTGCAAGTTACTGAAGCGTGAAACATATCTGTACTTACTTGACTGCGTAACCATCTCGAACATCATACTTTTCCTCTTTCTTTCTTCGTACCAGCAGCTGGTATGCTACACAGATAAGTCCTAGTAAAATGGGCACAAGGACAGCCAGCACTATGCCTGCTGTGACGCCAGCCTGTCGCGATGAGTACTCCTGCTGACCTACAATATAATTATTTTCAGTTTCACCATTCTATCATGTTCTTGGAGGAAGACCATACATTTCTTCATGATTCAGCCTATTAAGTTGAACTGAATTGGCCCCAACTTTTATGTGTAAGAGATTTGCATGGACAGAGTAGACGGCAATTACTGGTGTGGATCAGTGGTCAGCCCAATGGAGACGAGTCGGTAATGACAAGACAATGCAACAGTGGAAAGATACGAATGAAATGATGTTCAGAAGCTGTGCAAACATTTGTGTACAGTGACTGAGAGGAACCACCTAGTGAGGCTGACTCTAGAAAATAATACAACAAAATGCTTCTAAAATATTGACTTGTTATACAGATTTAAACATCTTGTGGCCGCTATAATAAGGAAAGCACACACTAAACACAAGAGGTTTAAAGCTAATGGTTATTAAGGATATTAAACAGGATGGAAAAATTTTGTGGTTGGAAAAGTTTCCATTAATAGGAAATGTATTACTAATGGAAAAATCTCCATTCCACAGGACACATAGTGAGTGGCATTAAGGCAGCAAATTGCTGGCTATGCCGCAGCTTTGTTTGTATAACTACATTTCCTGGAAAGCCATTCTTTGAATTTTAACCTCATCATTTTTATCACACATTCCTATGTGGAACAGAAACTTTTCTCAATAGATCAAAACTATACCAAAAAATTGAATATTTTTTTTATTGGTCTATAACATAAATTTTCAATTACTTACATTCCATGTTGTGGTAATTATGAAGTTATCAAAACTATAGCATATTTAAATGAATGCCTTTATGCATATTTTAATATAACTTATTACATTTAAACATATATTCTAAAATGTTGAACAATAATGTGTCATAGAACTATCTTTTAATTTCAAAGAGTTCCTAATCTACATTTAAAATAATATTACTCGAGATCTGGTAAGCAGTACTGCAAGAAACAAAATGTTTAAATAAATGCAACATTGCTTTAATAAGTAATGACTGCCCATAAGTTGAATTATAATTACTTCTGATGACCTATCCTGATAATGAACAAATGGCTCTATGATTCTTAATGGTCATTCTGTTATGTAGGTCAATGAATTGTACTCGGGCGTACAAAAACGAGGTCATTCAATAAGATCCAGCAGTAGAATTTCATGGCAGCGAACATTTTATTGCTGAGACACTTTGTATGAATCTGGAGCATTCTCATTTTATGACAAAATATTTCCTTTGTTTAAGGAAGTTTCTGTAGGTCTCTTTTAAAAATGTCATTAAATTTCTAGCATCTATTCAGTACAATAAAACTTTACATGTCAAATATAAAATTTACCAAATAAATCTTTGCACTCTATCACAATAAGAGATATGTAAGTTCCAAGAGAGAACCAATTAAGAGTGTAGGAAGAGGCATTTTGATGAGCTGATAACCCACATCCAAGGAGTCTTACCAAATATCTAAATTGCCTATGAAAGATCCCATATGTGAGGAGGACAAGGGCTTTTGGGCCACAAACAAAACTTTTTTCACAACTGTTTTGTTCTCTTTGATGGCAACGGCAAAATATACATACTCCATTTCTAAAACCTTAGGACTGTCAAATCCTACTCTGTCTACTTACAGGGGCAATAAATATATTTCATTAGATGTTAAGTGTATTTTTTAAACATCATGGCTAGCAAGGTTTAAAGTTTAAGATAGAAGTAAGGTTAGGTTTACTTGTTCTTTGTGGATGAATGGTTTATGGGTGAAAGTAAGGTTAAGTTTAACCTTTATGTACATATATTTGTCTCAATTTCTGTTAACATGATATGAATACTTTCTGTGTAAGATTTAATTTAATAATTTTATTCTAGTTAATATAATTGTATATCGTGATGATTAAAGGATGGGTGATGTAGTATGTGCCTTTATTGCACAAAATGGAAAAAAAACCTGCATAGTGAGGGTTTCATGTTTTATAATTACAACAAAAATCTTATTAGGATCATCAAATAAACGAAGGGGCAATGGGTGAAATGTGTACAAATTTCAGCCAGAAAATGTGATGGGAATCGCCTGTTCGGTAAATTCAAGTGTAGACGAAAGACTTAATTTTAAAACAGATCTCGAAGATTCAACTGGTTCAGGATATGATGGCAAAGTTTGGGTTCCATAAAGAGGCAGAGATGTTCTTAATAGGTGAGTTATTATTAGCTTCTCAAGAAGGCCTCTGCTCCATGAGAAACTCCGCAATTTTAGATGCTTAAACAGTCGCCATATAGAATGTTTCAGTAAAACTTCAAAATTTTACAAACATCAGAATTAAGATAATTACGTAAGTCATTTAACAATGAGCAGTAAGAAATAAATAAGAAAAATCATACAAAGATCCACAATATGAAAAAATATTTCTACCATAATACTGGCCGACTATTTAACAGTATAGTTCCAAACAGCGGAACCCAATCTTAAGTAATGAATTCAATCTACATTTCCCTTGTTGTTAATTCACAATTTGTTCCCTTGGCTATCGCCAAGGAAACAAATCATTAAGTTTTGTAATATTCTTACACAATTTAGTTTACTGCAGTTTCACGCCTCTTCAGTGCCGTCAGTTCATCATTGTCTAGTTCCTGAAGTTTAGTTAGTTGTGGTTCTATCCTGAAACATACAACCGCGAATTTGCAAATGATACAGCTTTTGAAAATAATGTCGGACAATTCAAAGATTTATTTTAATGATACTGCATATACTAATGCTGTTATTCAAAACTGAAGTGACTGGTTCGATGATGACAACGTAACTGACAGATTTCTGCAAATTTTCACTACGTGGCATTTACGTCCTATGTATTTTGTATTTGTTATTCCTTATTAGTAAAGGCTATATTGCTTGTTGTTAAAATACTAAGCTGCACACTTGATGTACATAATCTAATTTTAATTGTGGTTAATCACACATACCTAACTAACTAACTAAACCAAGTGTTCTCACTCAGCAGTGGACACTGGGACTTGGCAGGACACACTCATGAGTTTTTGCATCACTTATATCTTGTACCATTCAGTACAGAATATTTTTTTCTGTATTTTACCTCTCTATAAACCTGAAGATTAAAATTTCAAAGCTATAAATTTTACATGTTGTTTAATATGGAGGTAAAACTGGGTCTCTTATCCTAAGGGAAGAACACAGATTGAACGTGTTCAAAAATAGGTTATTGACGAACATATTTGAATCTACAAGACAGAAACTAATATAGGAAGGAGAAAATCACAAGATGAGGAACTTGATAATTTGTACGTATGGTGGACGAGATTGGCAGGAACCTGCAACATGCATGTGAAGTATGAAAAATGCATGCATTTCTGTCAGACAAAAACTGAATGGAAAACCACCTGGGAGACTTAAAAGGCAACATAATATTAACATTTACCTGAAAGACGTAGAATGTCGGAAAGTGGACTGGATCGGATCAGTCTCTTGTGAACATGGTAATGAACCTTTAGCTTCTATAAAGGACTGGAAATTTACTTATGACCTGAGTAACTATTAGTTTCTCAAGAGGGACTCTACTGTACGGAGCTGGTTGTGTCACGTAGGTTACAGTATAAATGTATTTCTTTTTATGGGGGCTAAACTGAGAGGAGCCAGGGGCTAAACTACAGCATGATTGGTGAGTGGGCTTGTAAACTGTTGCAAGTTACTGAAGCGTGAAACATATCTGTACTTACTTGACTGCGTAACCATCTCGAACATCATACTTTTCCTCTTTCTTTCTTCGTACCAGCAGCTGGTATGCTACACAGATAAGTCCTAGTAAAATGGGCACAAGGACAGCCAGCACTATGCCTGCTGTGACGCCAGCCTGTCGCGATGAGTACTCCTGCTGACCTACAATATAATTATTTTCAGTTTCACCATTCTATCATGTTCTTGGAGGAAGACCATACATTTCTTCATGATTCAGCCTTATTAAGTTGAACTGAATTGGCCCCAACTTTTATGTGTAAGAGATTTGCATGGACAGAGTAGACGGCAATTACTGGTGTGGATCAGTGATCAGCCCAATGGAGACGAGTCGGTAATGACAAGACAATGCAACAGTGGAAAGATACGAATGAAATGATGTTCAGAAGCTGTGCAAACATTTGTGTACAGTGACTGAGAGGAACCACCTAGTGAGGCTGACTCTAGAAAATAATACAACAAAATGCTTCTAAAATATTGACTTGTTATACAGATTTAAACATCTTGTGGCCGCTATAATAAGGAAAGCACACACTAAACACAAGAGGTTTAAAGCTAATGGTTATTAAGGATATTAAACAGGATGGAAAAATTTTGTGGTTGGAAAAGTTTCCATTAATAGGAAATGTATTACTAATGGAAAAATCTCCATTCCACAGGACACATAGTGAGTGGCATTAAGGCAGCAAATTGCTGGCTATGCCGCAGCTTTGTTTGTATAACTACATTTCCTGGAAAGCCATTCTTTGAATTTTAACCTCATCATTTTTATCACACATTCCTATGTGGAACAGAAACTTTTCTCAATAGATCAAAACTATACCAAAAAATTGAATATTTTTTTTATTGGTCTATAACATAAATTTTCAATTACTTACATTCCATGTTGTGGTAATTATGAAGTTATCAAAACTATAGCATATTTAAATGAATGCCTTTATGCATATTTTAATATAACTTATTACATTTAAACATATATTCTAAAATGTTGAACAATAATGTGTCATAGAACTATCTTTTAATTTCAAAGAGTTCCTAATCTACATTTAAAATAATATTACTCGAGATCTGGTAAGCAGTACTGCAAGAAACAAAATGTTTAAATAAATGCAACATTGCTTTAATAAGTAATGACTGCCCATAAGTTGAATTATAATTACTTCTGATGACCTATCCTGATAATGAACAAATGGCTCTATGATTCTTAATGGTCATTCTGTTATGTAGGTCAATGAATTGTACTCGGGCGTACAAAAACGAGGTCATTCAATAAGATCCAGCAGTAGAATTTCATGGCAGCGAACATTTTATTGCTGAGACACTTTGTATGAATCTGGAGCATTCTCATTTTATGACAAAATATTTCCTTTGTTTAAGGAAGTTTCTGTAGGTCTCTTTTAAAAATGTCATTAAATTTCTAGCATCTATTCAGTACAATAAAACTTTACATGTCAAATATAAAATTTACCAAATAAATCTTTGCACTCTATCACAATAAGAGATATGTAAGTTCCAAGAGAGAACCAATTAAGACGCTTGCTCACACAGAGACCCATAAGAAAGAAAATTTTGATTTATTGCTTGCTGTCACAGATACCCATAAGAAAGAAAATTTTGATTTATGATTCTCATTGTGAACTTCTTTAGGATGACAATGGAATGAAAATGGATTCTCAGATCTGAAGAAAAAGTTAATTTCTATCTAATCCCATGACCCAAAAAGAGAGCAGATACATCTGAGATTAAGTTGTCATGTTTCATTAATTATAAAGTCTTTATCAATAAAATGATGAGTACTCCAATGAAGTCTGATATGAACTGTAACATTTTGCCTTGGATGTAATGCACAATGTTTAGTAAATGTCCGTCTGACGACTGTGTCTGTACACAGCCTTACCGCTGAGGTCAGAAGGTGCTTCATCACTAGTTGTCAGCGATGTGTTCACACCCCCTCCCTCTTCCTCCTCTCCTAAGTCCCACAACTTATCATCAAAATCAACAGATGGCTTTCCAGGAAGTGGTTCATGAGTACGATATGAACGATCGTACATCCTGCGCTTCTTCGTCCCACCCAAACTACTGCTTCCCGAGCTGCTCCGGTCACTATGGTCACTCGCTGCACCATTACTGTGGCGGTAGGCATTGAAACTGCTAGTGGCAAGAGGCACTGCTTTCAGTGGTTCCACTGAAGCTGGCACTTCAGGTTTATAGTGCCAAGATTCAGCAGAAGTGTCCTTAACTTTACGCCTTTTAAGAATGCAGTAAGCAGCACATGCGCCAATCAGGATTAGTGGTACCAGCACACTCAGAATAACACCAAATGTCATCCCAATTTGGCGTGATGAATACTCCTGCTGACCTGGTTAATATAAAAATTATGTTTATATTTAGGATTTGAGGTTCTCATGACAGTGAGTGTGAAGATGGCTGTCTTCTGGGGTGTTGCGCCGTGTAGTCTGGTAGAAGTTTACCAACGTTACAGAGGTCCTTGCTGCCTACATCATCATGACCCTGACTGGAGGGTTCACCCTGAAGTTTGAGGCAATGCATTCCTCCAAAACACTGACAACCACGTACAATACTACATGATATCATAAACTAGATGACTGTGATTGATGTAGGAAATTTTAATTTGTGGCACCTACACAGTATATAGTGAACACTGACGTTAGAGTTGTCTGGGTGTATTACGTGAGTTATGAAAAAAAAGGAAGAATGTAAGACAAAAGAGAAGAGACTTTTCAAAAGTTAAAAACATTGACGTTAGAGTTGCCTGGGTGTATTACGTGAGTTACGAGAAAAAAAAGGAAGAATGTAAGACGAAAGAGAAGAGACTTTTCAAAAGTTAAACCTGGTTGGACTAAACTAAGATCGTAATTCCGAAAATAATAATTCTGTTAAGTGAATGAAATAGAAACTGCTGATCAGTGAATGTTCATTGAACACTCCACTTCTAATGCAACCTTTTTTCATTACACTCCCTGTTGCCCCAGTAAACATTAAACCTGAGTAGTTGGTACTCCTGGGTTCAAAGACCAGCTATGAAAAGGTTAAACAGCCAAAACCATAAGACAAACCGGCAAAGTTAGAGTAGATCTTTGGCCTTTCAGCAAAAGTGAGGTTCGTTAATAGCACGAAGTTCATTATAACTAGCAGCCAATGGGTTACCCAACCATGCATTCACATGTAAATAAGAGTGTGTGTGAGAGTAAAAATAAATTGTAAAAACTAAATTAGAATGAGATACAAATTAAATTAAAATAAATCTGAGTAGGAAACTAAGATGAATTAAAATTTAATCAGTTGCTATAGTACTCACGTAGACATTCTGTGTATCCGTATGTAGGTGTGTCCCACCGCCCTGTTTCAGTGCAGACGCGACGTTGATCTCCGATAAGAATAAAATCTTGCGAACATTCAAAGGTCACCTTGGATCCAGGTACAAAAAGGAAGGTACTCTTGCGTCCAAACCGAGGAGTCTCCAGAACACCACATGATATCACTGAAATACACAGCAAATCAAGAAAATTTAAAATCTCTGATTATGTTTTAGTTCCACAGCAGATTCTGACAGTGCAATTCACTATTCAATAAAATTACATAAATTTTTAAGTGACAGTAGTTTTTAAATTTTAAGAGTGCTGAAGTAATTCCACTTCTATTATAGTACAGTTTGGCACAATGCATAAACAGCAGCAGCACCAGCAATAATAATTTTCCAGGTTATGATGCCCTTCAATGCGTTCCAGTTCCCAAAACTCTCCACCGCTCCGTATCCAATCTCCTTCGACCAAATTCCCTTCTGATACAGCCTTCACAGTGTCTCCTTTCCACATTGTTCTAGGTCTTTGCTTGCCAATCAAAAACCTGCTTTGGCAAACAGTCCTCCACCAATCTTTTTACCAAAGTAATTGTTTAGCTAGCGTGTCATCCATTATGTTTCCGTCCACTCTTATATCTCCCTGATTAATTCATTTCGCACTTTATCGAAACAAGAGATCCTTGCTGGTCTCTGCCAATAATCCACTTCAGTGGCCATGATCCTCTGTTCTTCCCTTCTCCCTACCCGTCACACTTCACATCTACTTTTAAGAATGGCGATGTACATGTGTTTTTAACATAACAACAATAATCATAATAAAAACAAGTATAACAACGCCGATGATGATGAAAAAGACGAAGAATGATGCTAAAATAAAATCAGAAGAAATATAATAATTCTAAAAAATAAAAAGATCACAACAGCACTGGTAATCACAATGCAGGAAGTACGCCATAAAATTAATAGCATTGGTGATCATAATGGTAGCAACTTTTACGCTACTGCTGCTGCTGCTGAGAATGACAATGGTGTGGTGATATTCTGTGCAGTTACCTCTTTCCTTGTTCCTTGATTTGATGTTGACGAAGCTGTCCAGGTAGTTCCTGGTGAAATGAGCCAGGTCTCTGTTCAGACTCATCGCATAGTCATAGAGACACTGGTATGCTTCTCCACACAAACTGTGCGCCATCTCAATGTCTTTACTCCTACAAATTCACAACAACAACAACAAAATCATTAAACCACTGCAATGAACGAGAACATTGGAACAGGAGAATAAACAAGAAGTGGCCAATGTACGGTGGTAAGAAGGGGAACTAATGAATACTGAGATCTGGCAGACAAGACTGAAACAGATTCTGTTTAGATATTCATTACATGTGCTTGTACTTGCACAGGCATCGGATAAAAGTTGCAAAGTCCTAAAGCAAGTGCCTCCTATTACAAAAGAAAATGAGGTAAAGACTTTGTCTTTTTCACAGCATGTCCTCACATACACCTACACATGTATTCAATGAGTAAAGTAAAGTAAAGTTTGTCCCACTATACGCCATGTAGGCGTTTGGGGGGAGAGTAGGTATAGCTCCTCTCTTCCTTGACCTCGGCACTAGATGGGGGTGAGTGGTCGGCATCACGCCCTGGCCGGCTTTACCCCCGGGAAAGGACCCCGGTACCCATTGTAGAGGAGCCTGGGTGGGCCTTAGAGGAGCCGATCTGAATGCAGAAGCTATAGGAAATATCCTCTGCCCCCATCGGGGATCGAACCCCGGTCGTCCAGCCAGTAGCTAGTCACTATATTGACTGAGCTATCCCGGCTCATGTATTCAATGAGTAAATTTGATAAACATAGAAGTTATCATTAGAAAACGTGTTCTGTGACAAGAAGCCATTTGC